CTCCATCACTCACTCGCACTCCCACTTGCACGGGCACTCTGCACTCGCACTCGCCCCCACGCACCCATGAGCGCAGCTGCCCGCACCCACGGACTGGATGGTGACCTCCCTGCATATGGCATCTTGAATCCCACGATGCTTTGAGGTATCCACCTTCTGGACATCGAGAGGCTCCGCCGGCTCTTCGACATCTACGATGTAGCCGCTGGGCTGTTCTTGCATGTGGGTGTTTGTTTGTGCTCGTGTGTGTGAGTGTGCGTGCATACGTAGGTACGTACGTACGTACGTACGTACGTACGTACGTATGTATGTATGTATGTATGTATGTACATACACAATCACAATCATTCATGTATTCATCTATGTACACATATATTGTCGCACGACAACCACTCCCTCCAAAGGCCGACGCTGACCTAGTGAATGCGTGTTGACATTGCTGGCTCTGAAAATCCTTAAATATTCGGGTGCTCCCCCTTATACTAGCAGTCCTTAACAGGGATTCAAAATAGGGGGGTACGATAATCCCAATTAAGGACTGTTAGCATAAGGGGGAACATCCCAACTTTCATAGTTGATGTCCAACGCATCTTTGTGCCATATCGCATATCGCAACGAAGGAGAGAAGGCGCGTGATCACGCAAGAGATGCCAGGGTCTCAGCGTGCGAGAGGGGTTCCGGCCAGCCAGAATTCCCTTTTATGGGCATGAAGGCTCAGGGGCTTAGAGACTCAGCACGCAGCATGCTCTTTCTCCTTCTCTCCCCCACCCCCTCCCCGAAAGGTCCCCCAAATCGCACCAATGGACTGAATGGACTCTCATTTGCTCAACCACAGGTTCACGCGCGTGATCCAAGGCATCCTGAAGGCAGGGGAACTTCATTGATGCTTCAGCATCTTCACAGCAGAAGCCAGAACATCTTGTGGAGCAAGTATGCGCTTTCTCACGCACAGGTCACGGAGCCCAGTGACATCCCCAAGACTCGGCTCGATCGCTGCTGGGGCTGACCTGGATAGTTTAGGGTTTAGGGTTTAGGGTTTAGGGTTTAGGGTTTAGGGTTTAGGGTTTAGGGTTTAGGGTTTAGGGCGAGCCTCAAGGTTCAGGTTCTTCGTTCAGAGCTCAGGCTCAGACACACGACATGGGAGAGGGGTACATCGTGCTGTGAAGGAAGCTTCCGAGGTTTCAGGAACCCAAAAGTCCTCGGTCCTCATCTGACTCATCTATATCCCCCCCTTGGGATTTTTTTATTTATGTTTACATAAAACCCAAGAGGATATTGGAAATATTATTTCGATGGAGGTTCTAAGGGGAGTATAGTCATCTACCTAGGAGTCCTTGGGCAGGAGCTCTTGGTGTGGTGAGACAGCATAAGTCATCCAAAGCATTCGGTCGAGCTCCCCACAGAGGGTAGGCGAGCGTGCGAGGCTATTGGCGCGAGATCGACTTGGATCGGAACGGCACTGTGGATTTTGAGGAGTTCGTGATTTGGATGATCGATCGAGGGCCGGAGCACCTCATGCTGCGCAGGGAGTGGATATCGCAGACCCTGGGTGCGGAGATTTGATCATGCGACGCGCAGGACGATTTGAATTCGCAGGGGTGTAGAGCTGCAGTATAACAATCCTCAACTCCCAACTCTAATTCCCGGCCAAGATACAAAGCTTGCAGTCGCAGATGTTCACCCAACAGACCTGAAGAAAGCCTGACGCTTGAGACATATGCAGTGGTCCTTTCCTAGCTGGCCTGGTAGGGCCAAGGCCCCTGCGAAGCAGTTCCCCGCAGCCGAAAGGTCAGAGTCAGTAAACTTGGCACCCTGTAGAGCTCCGAGGTTGCCCCAGAAGTAGCAAGTACTAAGTAACGCAAGAGAAAGCCCGTAAAGAAAGTAATAGACGAAACTTCAACGTCCCCCCCTAAACCCGAAACCCCTAAGAACACTAAACCCTATAAGGCCCTGTCCTGGAGGACCAAATGAACCCTAAAAGGGTTTATGGTTCATATAGCTTAATAGGAATTATAGTAGTATAGGGCATATGACCCCAATTTTAGGCTTCATTTCGTCCCCAAGGGTAGCTTCAAAGCTCTCCATCCCTGCCAAGCGAGCTCCGCCCCTGAAAGGGGCGAGTGCTCAGCTTTCGGAGCTCTTCGGGATTGAGGGCCTGGTTTGGGGCTGCGGTCTAGGGGTTTAGGGTTTAGGGTTTAGGGTTTAGGGGTTTAGGGTTTAGGGTTTAGGGTTTAGGGTTTAGGGTTTAGGGTTTAGGGCTACTGCAAGCCTTCAACCCTGGACGTTGGGGGCGAACCTCCCGCAACCCTGAGTGCACCAGGGGTGCCCTACTGGAGAATCCAGATGGCTTCGAAGGGCACGGCGCTTTAATTCAACGCCACAGCTAGGTAGGCCCCTGGGACATTTTATATTTTTCCCTTATTGGGTTTAAGAGGATCATATCTACGAATATTTTTCAAAGGGCTTTAAGGGCCATCCTAGTTTAGCGCGTAGGAGATGTCTGGGCTTGGCTCTGTGTACGCGTATGCAAGAAACCAGCCAGAGTATTGCGGCACTGACTCCAAGGCAAGCTAGCATGAAACAGTGTCTGGCGCCTGCTTCATGCGCAAGCGGCCTGTGGCACAGGCCATGTCCAGAAAAGTGGTTCAGTTTTCAAAGTTTGTTAAATGCACCGAAGCACCGAATCGCAGCCTGAAAACTGCAAAGCAGGTCTACATCCAAGAGCGCTTAAGCCCCAAATCCGACTGTACAGCATCCACGACGCCTTTGCCGTCACCACTTAAGTCGAAGCCACGCGCAGTGAGTACCAAGTTCCACGTCCTTGCACGAACCATGTCATGTAGCCTGAAGGGCATCCTTTGCGCTCGAGCCCTTCGCTCAGAGTCGGTCCCTCCATTTCAAAGCCCTCACTCAGTATACGGGACTAAACCCTAAACCCTGAACCCTAAACCCTGAGAATCAGCACCTCAAGGCTCCTGATACTCGTACCCCACCCTTAGGTCTCGGCTGTCGCACTTTCGACAAATGGTCGTCACGGCTTGCCCCCCCACTATTCTTTCAGTCGCTCGCTTCGGTGCTTGAGGTTTCCTGAGGGTTCAAGAGAAGTCCCCATGTGGACGGACCCCTGTCCCCACATGGAAAGGTGGCTCAGGGCTTCGGACCCTCGGGTTGTGTGGACCTGGGACGCACGATTGCGAACGCATGGCGGTGTAGAGTTTGGAATGAGTCGGTTACCCTAAACCCTAATGAGTCGTTTTCTCAGGCTCCAAAAACTCTTCTTCGAGTTTAAGTAGCAGCGGCCCCTAAGGAGCCGAGAACGAAGGATCGGACAGTTGACAGGCGCGTGAGAGCCTGCCAGCGGTTCTTTTCAAGGGCACGAAGCAGAGGGTGCATCGTGCGGAACAGAAGAGGTGGAAGTGGCAGTCGTATCAATCCAGAAAGAACTCGCTGGGATTTGGATGTTTTGAACCGCAAACCCACAGTCTTAAGCTCTAGGCTCTACTAGGATGCCCAGTAGTGCCCTTATTCCCTTTTTTTGGGGTTTAGGTTCCCTTATAAACGCCTTTAAGCAAAAAAGGGTACCCTTTTTAATCCTAGGTTACTGGGCAACCTGGTCTATAGACCCACCTATCCATCGTCTTTTCGAGACTCTTTCCAAGCTGTAGGACTGTAGGATCGATACCACCTAAACCCTAAACCCGATCCTTGCATCCTTCAGCCCCGACCTTGCGGTAGGCTTCCAGGGATTGAAGGGCTGGGTAGTGGTTTAGGGTTTAGGGTTTAGGGTTTAGGGTTTAGGGTTTAAGACTGCACTCGGACCAGGTTTCCGGCGAATGGAGGCGGATAGCTCGGCCGGGCCCTCGACAAAGCTGCGAGAAGCCGGCAGGCATAATGTAGGGGTCGGAAGAATTGCAAAACCCTAAGCCGTAAACCATATACCCTAAACCCTAAGTTACCCTAAACCCCTAATCCCCTAAACCCTAAACCTATTCAAATAGTATTCCCTTATGGTCTTTTTCATAATTATACTATCATAGCCCCCCCCCAAAACCCTATTCTAATTATTAAGGCCCCCGAGAGTAGGTTTTGCAAGCGGTATGACTCAAGATGGAGCCCGTTGTTGTTTAGGCCGAGGCTCACGGGCCCTGAGGAGGTTTCGAAGAATAGGACAGCATTGTGGCCTTGGAGGGGCATAAGGCCAAAGTCGGGTAAAGGTCTGAAGGGTTGAGGGTCTTGAGTCTTGATCTCCTAGCACACCAGGATGGGCTATCATCCCCATAATGAACCCTATAAAGGGCCGTTTTAAGAGGTTGCAGGGTATAATAGCCCGTCCTGGTAGAGACTTGCCTCTGTATCGTCTAGGCCTGTATCCCAACCTTATGTACTCAGGCTGCAGGCGGCCGCGTTCCGCCTGGCAGCTTTCCAGGCCTGATGTTGGTTGGATTTAGGTTTTAGGTTTTAGGGTTTAGGGTTTAGGGTTTAGGGTGTTGAGAAGGGTTTAAAGTGGCATCGTCAATACCCAGGTTAGACACGAACTGCTCAGAGTTTGACATCGCCTTGGGCCCCCCCCAACCCTTCAACTCCAAAGCCCACAAGTGTTGTTGGTCGAGCTGAAGGCTTTTTTGGTATAGGATTGTGACAGACGTGCGACCCTCTGAATGCCACGATTTCCCATGTTGTGCTTGAAGATCCGGGCCCAGTGTCTCCCTAGTGGGCCCCTCGCCTGTTGTCTCGGAGCTCAAGACTTAGATGGCAGACCCGCAATGTCAACAGTGAAGCAACCCATGGAGGGAGGAAGCCTGTCATGACCCTGGTCCCAAATGTGCTGTCATTTTGCGCGGTCTCTGTCAGGGTAGCCTGTAGAGCATGTACACTGTCAACCCTAAACCCTAAACCCTCAAGACCCGAGCGAGCGCTGCGCGAGCCCAAGCCCTAACTCTCCGACAGCTCGATCGTTGCTTTTCTGACAGGCATGTCGGGTTCAAGATTCAAGTGCAGACATGTACGTTTCCAGACTTGGCAGAAACTCAAGACAGGTGAAGCCTTAGCCTGGAAGCCTCCGTTGCCTGGGCTATAAAAGGTTCCAGCATCCATCAGCAAACCTTCAAATAATCCGGAATGTCCAACTTTACTATATTATGGGACCTGAAGCTCAGAAGTCTAGCTGTACCACGCGCATAGAGTGACGCAACTTCGACGCGCGTGCGGTCACAAGCGCCGCAGCTGCCAGAGGGCGCGAAGGGAGGCTCGGTCAAGGAGTTAGAGGAACTAGGTTGGCTTTTGGGATTTTGGGACTTATATATTTGTATATATATATATGTATGTGTAGTTATATATATATATATATAACGCCGGATGTTTTTTTTGGCAGCCTTGCCTGACAACACGTGATGTCACGATAAAAACCAATTCGTCGTTCCTTCTGGAGAAATCTGGTTGGACAAATCAAGTTCTTACAGAAAGTGTCCCAGAATGCCAATTCCATAGAGGCTGCGTACGTGTCCAAGAAACAGCCATGCTTGCAACCGAAGAAATCTGCTCACAGACCATCCTCTTGTACGAGTGGATTCGTGGCGTCCCGCCGATCCACTCTCACATCAGCATGTCCACGGTTCTCCACATGTTCACACTCCAACTTTCCGCATTCCCGCATGTGACTGAAAGCCAGATGCCTGGTACAACATTGTAATCAACAGATTGGCTTCCCAATTTCCCGCGCCGCACACGAGGAAGTAATGAAGCACGTCTGCTGAGGCAGACGCGTTCATGGCACCCTCGATTCTCCCACCGGCTGCTTTCCACAACAACTTGTCATACAAAACTGCTGGAAGGTCTTCGGGTCGATTGAACTGCCTTTGCAACTAGCTCAGTGCTTCTTGCATGTCTTATGTGGCTCCCGATGCTTTAACGCCTTAAGGTTTCTTTGGGTCTTTTGTGGCTGCCAGATCTCATGCACAGCTCAACACGAGCCTTGACACTCCAACCACACTTCGGCCCCACAGGCTCGTTGAGTTTAGTATTCAGGCTAGGTCAACAGTTATTTTGCAGACAATACTGTTTGTCGCAACCTGGATTGTGAAGGACAGGCTTCCCAGCAACTGTTGGTTTTTCGGGAATTATGTGGCGTTCTCCATGGTCGGAAGGCCCCGCGTCAAAGCTCCGTCATGGATGACGATGGTTTGGTGCTATATGCTGTCTTTGAGGAAGACGAGGCTACAGCTTGCGAATGCGCAATCGCAACCTCAATCCCAACTTAGTTGTTCCTCTGTGCCCGAAGACTTGAACATATCGGAGGATTTTCGGCTTTGTGCACTTGCAGCTTTTCCAGTCCACTGTTTCGTGGGTTCAGGGACTGCCCCAAGAATGGCGAGTTGAGCAGCCCAAGCTGAGGGTGAGCCACGCCAACCGCCAAGTGGAAAAGGTGGAAGCGGGCCAACCGGTGAGCACGTAGCAAAAAATAGACCACTTGGGATGTTCCACCTTTTATACCAACAGTCCTCAAGAGGGATCATAGAACCCCCTATTACAGTACAATTAAGGACTGTCATTATAAGGGGGAGCATTCCAATGGACTACCGATATCCAGCGATCGGGGAGGGATCCCCTGAAACCCAGTCCAACCAACTCCTTGCACCACACTGCACACAGCTCTTAGGAGGACTACCCACCTGGGGTCCTTTTTTGGGTACCTGAAATATGAGGGGATAATAGCAACCCCAAAAGGGACCCTAAGTTAGAAATGTTTGCCTGGGCTTTGAAGGCAGTAGCAGCGACAACCACCCGGGCGGGGGAGGAAGGGAGAACATCAACACCGTACGGGGTGAGCAGAGGCGTGGTAGGGTGATTGACTCCTTACCCACGCCCCCAAAAGGAGAGAGAAAGAGGGAGAGGGAGAGGGAGAGGGAGAGAGAGAGAGAGAGACAGAGCGAGAGAGAGTGAGAAACGAGACTAGCAGAATAGGGACACTTGGGCAAGTGAAAGTGGTGGCAGGCTGAACTGCGTGCAGCCCATGCTGCTGAAGGCGATGGATGCACCAAGTGACGCTGCAATTCTATTGCTGAGTTTGTAACCCAGATCTTCCAAAACCCCTTAATTAAGGAATGTACCCTAATTGATACTAAGGATCCTTATCAGGAATTAAGGTATATACCCTAATTAAGGGGTTTTGGAAGATCTGGGAACATGCAAGGGGTCCACGCCATGTGTGCGTGTGTCGTCGTTTGCCTGTTCGTGTGCATGCGTGATGCGTGCGAATGGTGTCAGGCGAGGTGCTGCGCACTGCGGACTCCCGAGGGTGGACTCCCATCCTGCATGCTGCTTTTGCTGGCAAAGCAAAGTCCCTTCGAATCTTGACCGCGCTGCTGGGCCCTTCGTGTCTCGAAGCACGCACCCCAGATGGAAGCTCAGCAGCTCATTTGGCTGCTACAGAAGGTCACGTGGAGTGCTTGCAGGCCCTGGCGGCCTTGGGTGCTGATCTCAAAGCTGCAGACTCCAGCGGCTGGACGGCATTACATGCCGCAGCCGCTGCTGGAAAGGTTGAGTCTTGCCAGATACTGAAAGATCTTGGACTGGAGATGGGCCACAAGACCCCTGAGGGCTGGACCCCTGTACACTGCGCAGCGTTCAGTGGAGCTGTTGCAAGCCTGGGGGCGCTACAGGATCTGGGGGCCAGCCTGGAGGAGCCAGATGTCGATGGAGAGGCACCTGCGCACAAAGCGGCTGCTGCTGGCCAAGACGCTTGTTTACGAGAGCTTCACAAACTGGGTGCGCGCCTTGACAGTGCCGACCAAAGCGGCCGAACACCAGCACACTTTGCAGCTGCCGAAGGGGAAGCTGCCTGCTTGAAAGTACTCCACGAGCTTGGGGTCTGCTTGGGGGCCGAAGATAGCATGGGCGAGACTCCCATGGACAAGGCAGACATTGAAGAGCAATCGGAGTGCATTCAGCTTCTGCAAAGGCTTTTAAACTTAGAGCGCGTTGCGGAGTGATCACGGGCGAGAGAAGAATCGACAATACCAGCTGCAGTGCCGGCCTGCTTTAGCTTTCTGTCCTGTTGCCCATGATAGAGAGAAGTTCCAGAAGCGCACCGAAAAATTGGCGCCAGCTTCTGCATCAGGGCTTATACAGTTTCCAGTAGTCACCCGCCTTAGCGTTCTTAGAGGCCTTGACCCTTGTCAAGGGGTTATAGGTTAAGTTATCGGGTACGAATAGCCCGTCCTTGCTACTCACACACTGAACCTCGAAGATTGAACTGAGAATGGGATTCATGTGTTTAGGTGTTACTGGCTTCTCGCCCTGATGGAAGTCTTCATCTTGCAGGTTCAAAGGGCTTCAGAACCGCAGAGATACACGTGTGGCTGTAAGTTTCAGTGCTTCTCAGGTGCTTAGACGGAAACGCCATGATGCCCACTGCGGCAATTGAGGCAATCCTAGGAGGCCCGCAGCATACAGCCCGTCCGGAACCTCCTGACCCCAACCTTCGAGGCACCCAAGCCAAAGCAATCTCGAAGATCTTCAAGTTGGCAGAAGCAACGCTGTAGACGACTCGCCCGGCAAACCGAACATATCCAAAGACTGTGGGAAACTCACGAGGCTTGTGCCCAGAAGGGGAACGAGTCGCTGTTCGTCGAGGAGGGCGGCCTGCTGGGCGCATGCGCCTCGGAAGTTGGCGGGTCCGGGCCAAGAAGGGCCTAACAGGGCCTAAGGCTTACTGGCTCAAAACCCAACTTTTCAACTTTTGGGCTTCTTATAAGGTAGTAAATTCTGAAAGTTTCAACTTTTATTTCCTGGGTTTTTGGGCCAGTAAGAAGGTCAGATGTGTTTTTTTGCAGCATACGCTGCCGGGCAGCATAGGTCAAACGCTCTGCAGGCTACTGGCCGGCACTTGGGTTGTTTGCATCTGAGACGTGAGTCGGACTGGGCTTCTGTTCTGAGCTTAGGCACGAGGCGGTTCTGAAGAGATTTCTGGGAAGCTGGAGTTGGGGAATATGTGGGAGCATGTGGGAACCTTCTTTCTTGCAGCACTACATCGCTCCTGATTGTTGTGACTAGAACTCTACAGGCACTACCAAAAGGACACACATTGCCAGAGCCATCTCTCACGACACAAGAACCCGGGCTACGGGGCTCATGTATCTTCTACACATCCCGAGTCTCAGGGGGGGGCAAGCGTGCAACTGAGAAGGTGGAGCGCGAGCTCGAGTTCGAGCCCCCGGAGGCCAACGCCAAGCCAAGAGAGTCGCTTCTTATCAGTTTGGGGTTTAGGGTTTAGGGTTTAGGGTTTAGGGTTTAGGGTTTAGGGTTTAGGCGTTTCCGTTTTTACGCCCTTTGCCACCTCTTGGCCTCTGAGATCCCCCACCCCCTCCCAGAGTTTTGGCCCCACCTGGAGATTCGCCGAGTTGTTGGAGTCCAGGGTTTAGGGTTTAGGGTTTAGGGTTTAGGGTTTAGGGTTTAGGGTTTCAGGCCCTATGTCCTGGATGCAAATGAAGAGCCTAGGGGGTCGAAAAAGTGTGAGTTGGCCCATGAGGTGACGGGCTGTGGTATGGTTCTTGCAGATCACAACGGCAATTCAACCTTGGGGACGAAATGAACCCTAAAAGGGTTTATGGTTCATATACCTTGATAGGAGTTATAGTGGTAATGGGTATATGACCCCCAATTTTAGGGTTCATTTGGTCCCCGAGGAAGAAAAGGGAGCGCCGCTGGGAGGGACTTTTGCCAGAGAGGCAGGCTGAGCCCCAGAACTGCAACCGTGTCATCCCAACCCCTAGGCTCCAAGCCTATAATCCTTACTGGCTCAAAACCCAACTTTTCAACTTTTGGGCTTCTTATGAGGTAGTTTATTCTGAAAGTTTCAACTTTATTTCCTGGGTTTTTGGGCCAGTAAGAATCTCAGTTGGCACAAGTACAATCCAGGCATACCACAGCAATCTGAAAACTAAGCATGTGATAAATATCACCATATGACCGACCGTCTCATAATATGGCAATGCGACTATACAGCAATATAACTACATATTGACACTGTAATAATCTCCAAACCCGAAACCCTAAACCCTAAATTCGAGTCAACATTCAGGAATTCAAGCAGAATTCAAGGATGGCGAGCCCCTGCCGAGGGACCATGTGACTTCGCTGGCATGAGCTGAGGCCTAGGCTCCAAGGCGTGCCAGACAATGACGAGATGATGACAGCGGAAGGGCACGTGAATGACCGGAGACAGCACTGGGCAGACACCTGGGCAAAGGGAAGAGCTAATGAAAGGGCGGAGCACAGATGGTGCAGGGGCAAAGAGGATGAATCCCATGGGGGGAGAAATGGCAGAGTAATAGGGGATTAGCACACTACCTGAACTTTGTATAGGGCTCTGGGGTCAACCATTTCTCTCCTGCCCCGTGCGACCTGAACGCCCACCACCTCAGAAGATGGCGATGTATGGTGTTGAGGAGAAGTACTGACATGTCCTGGGTATGTTTCACTAGCCAATGAGCCTTTCACCAGTTAGCAAACAGTGAGTGTTGAGTAGTATCACCAGCATGCCTGTGGCCACATGTGCTGCAGAGCCGATTTGAGACTATTGAACCTGTGTGCCTCGCCTGGCTTGTCCGAGTGTGAGCGATTAAACCCTAAACCCTAAACCATTGGAGGACGCCAGCGAGCCTTCCTTGGACCTGGAGTTGGTCACTCGGACATGTCTTGACGTGCGCGAGAGGGGGCAAGGGGGCCGCGAGGGGCTTAGGGTTTAGGGTTTAGGGCCGTTTAGGGTTTAGGGTTTAGGGTTTAGGGTTTAGGGTTTAGGGTTTAGGGTCTACTTGGGCTTAGGGCTTCAGGGAGGACTTCCCAGGAGGGCACCTTTGAAGGGATACAAGATGCCTGCAAGAAGGGTTTTCGGGACCTTCAAGGCCTTGAAACTCCTGAGGTGAAGGAAGATTTCGGGGCTTCAGGTTCTTAGCTTGAGGCGTTTGGTCTTCAAGACCCGTGCGCCAAGGCCTTTTTATGTGATGCTCCTGTGAGAAATGGGGATGGACTCATCAGAGCACTCGTTGCGTTCAGTTGCGCTGGTCCTATGCCCATGATGGCCTTGAATGTGGGGCCTTATCGTAAACGCCAGTCTTGTCAGGAAGGGGATCCGGGGTTAGCATGAATGCTCAGTCTTCCATTCTTGCCCTTAAGGCCCAGATGCCCCTAAGTTGCGGGTCCAGCCTGAAAGTTGAATCTTGAAGGCTTAAACCCTAAACCCAAAACCCTGAACAGTCCCGTCTGTCAGGATGACGTCACTGCCTTGGCATTAGCCCCTTTGGGTGGCGACTTCTTGCAAGGACCGGGCTTGATGCAAAGCTCGCCAGGTAGTTTCTAGGGTTTAGGGTTTTGGGTTTAGGGTTTAGGGTTTAGGGTTTAGGGTTAGGGTTTAGGGTTTAGGCTTCTTCAGCCCATGCTTCAGGGCCCGAGGAAGTGCATCAAAGTTCGTGGTTTCGGCCTTGGCTTCGTTTAGAGGTAGCCACAAAAGACAGCACGCCCTTCTCGGAACATGCATGCAGCAAAACCCAGTCCTCGAACTGCTTTGACTGCCTTGCAGGATTCCCTCCCAAAACCGCTCGTCGATCGAAGCATGCTCTTTCTGGAATATCAGCCATCGCGGCGCTCCGCTAGTTGATTTGGCCGCCATGCTGTACTATGCCTATCTGAAAAGTCACCTCAACATGCCCTCGGCGGGTGAGGTATAACAGGGAGCTCCCGCGCGGAAAGTGTATAAGGGCTGAAAGCTAGGGGCCAGGGGCCTATGCAACCGCACTAAACCTCCTTGAGGGGTCAGGGTCTCTAGGGTGTAGGCTTCAGGATGTGAGGGTTGGGGTGGGGGGGGGGGGTAGTTTGAGGGGGGAGGGATTATCGAGATAAGCAGTTGAAACTGCAGCTCTACAGCCGCGTCCTCAGGATGAACTTGTGATGATCGTGTTTTGGTGCTCTCTGCCCGGAAGGCTTCCCTGTGACGCTGGGCTGGAGGAAGAGGCGCGCGGCGAGTAGGTGGTTTGTGCTGCGGTTGCTGTTTCGGGCTTGTGCATTCGGCATTGAAGGACGAAGTGTGCTGTCGTCCCAGCAAACCCTAAACCCTAAACCCCGAAACATCCCAAAACCTAAGTGGCTACTACAGCGCAGCTTGGTCATCAGATCGATCCTTAGCTTACTGGGAGTGTAGAATCTCGCAGTTTATATATATATATATATATATATATTTATTTATTTATTTATTTATTGTTATATTATTGTATTTTATTGTACAGATGTAGATATATATATATAATAAATGAATATATATATATATATATATACACATATACAATATATACATATATACATATGTATATCATCATCAAATTCAAGGCATCAGTCCCTGAAAATGGCTGTGCAAGTTCAAAGCCTCTTGAGGGAGAGCATGTTCAACGGTGCACCCGCATCCTCTTCAAGAGGTTCGGTTTATGTAGGGTTTAGGGTTTAGGGTTTAGGGTTAAAGTTTAGGGTTTAGGGTTTAGGGTTTAAGGTTTAGGGTGAAGCACAGGCGGGCGGACGAATTGCGACGACATGGGAAGGCCAGAAGGGCAATCCGAGAGAGTGGCGGCATTTGGGACAGGTGTTTGACACAAAGTTGCACCCCCAACTCCCCCCCCCCCCCCCCAAAAAAAAAAAAAAAAAAGAAAGCCCTTGTCCATGCGACGCCCATGGGTTTACCCTCAGTTGGTAGAGGGTGCGCTTCATATATGCGCCCTTCCGGAGGTGGGAAACCACTGGTATAGGGCGTGGTGTGCTCTCAGTTCTCTCCGCTCTGCGAAATGTGAGCCTACGCGGATACGGCAGCATTTGCCAGAGTTTTCAAACAGTGAGCGTGTTGCAAGAAATTCTTTGGGCGGGAGAGCAGACATGTCAGTAAGGCCTGTTCTGTTACGTAGAAGCACTCAGGCAGCCTATGACTCAGGCAATTGCAAGCATTCGGTGATCGGCCGCTTCAGTCTGCAAGTTCAAAAACAGTTCAGCAGTTCAACGCAGTATAGCCTACAAGGCGGGGCCCCCTTAGTATACTAACTGTACTTAAGGATCCTTATAACCCAATTTAGGGCTGTTATGACTCTACTTTTAACTAGGGGGCCCCAACTTGTAGTTGCTTTTGCAAGAAGACCTGGAGCCCTATACCATTCTCGCCAGGAAAGCGGCAGCTTCTGCGAGAAGGACGGCCAGGCGGGACACCGAATCCTTGTTTTCATGGCCTATCGGGTACAATTCCCTCGGTTCCTCACTGACGAATTACGCACCCAGACCCTAAACCCCAAACCCTGACCCCCAAACCCTAAACCCTATAGTCTATCCAGAGCCCCTGATCTCAAAGTCCCGAGATCCCATGAATGAGAGATTCGATGTCTGAGTGGTTTTGAAGTTTTCGGCCCTAGGGCTGCTGGCCAGAGCAAAAAGGAGCAAAGTGCAAGACAACGTACGCAGTCAGCCTGGCCAACTGCTGGCAAACGTGGCGAAGCTTGCGGCTAAGCCTCTGTATCAGCACTGTATCCAACTTTTCATGCCATAGCTAAGCCGAAAAGCGGCCTGGGCTTGAAGGCACAAGACCTGTAGCAGGATGCTATCCGCCCGAATAATTATACCGAGTTATTCACAGCCTGTGTGAGTAGGGACACGGTGCAAAATCAGTGCGTCTGACCAGTCTCTTCAAGCTCCTAGCAATTGAGCCGTGCATACATGAGGTTCATCGGAACTGGGATGAAGCACGCACGTAACAGGCAAAGCACAAGGCCTACCCAAGCATCACAACAATTAGACGCGGTACAAATACTGAAATGTACTGTTGTTGTTCAATCAAAAATCAGCTTGAAAAGCAAAACCCACTGAAGCCTGTTCAGGGTCATTCAAATTTTTTTCCTGAAAGAACGACATACAGGAAAACTTGCCAGAAATTGCCTGTGCAGGAGAAGTTCCCAAACCAAAGCAACAGCTCCTGAACCCCAGTTTCACTTGAGGATAGTTCACGAAGTGCGGCTTTTCATTTTTGGGGGGGGGGGGGGGGGCAACCACCCACCCCCCCCCCACCCGCCCGGAACGGAGGTCACCACCCACCCCACCCCACCCACCCACACCCCAAACCACCCACCCCCCCACCCACACCCACCCCCCCACCCCGCCCCACCCCCCCCCCCACCCCCCCCCCCCTCCCCCGACCACCCCCCCCCCCCCCCCTACGCACATCCCCTCAATTTCATTTCAACATAATTCGAATTCACCAAAAGGACTTGAAATTCAATGAAAATTAGGCCCAACTAGTTCAAGATCATTAAAAGCAATCAAAATATCAATTACAACGATAAAAGATACACAAAAATAGAATTTTCGTTGCTGTGCAATTGTTTTTTTTCACCATTTTCAATTGAAAATATTGACAAAGTGACTAAATACTGAAATCACTTGTTCCATTTTTCCAAGAGGTGCTCCGAGAGGTCATGAGAGCGTTTAGGGTTTAGGGTTTATAAAGGTTTAAGAACCCTGAACCCTAAACCCTGAACCCTAATGTGGGTGATGAGATGAAGATTAGAAAGTACGAGCTCAAATCGGACTCGAAATCGCCCTGCGATGTGGATTCGCCCCAGCTGTGCAGGAGGGAAAAAAACCTCCTTGCCTGTCTGTGTGAGCGCGAGAGTCGAAATCCCAAGAAGCAAAAAACCTAGACCTTAAACCCTAAACCCTAAACCCTAAACCCTTATAAACCCTAAACCCTAAACCTCAAGCCAGATAGGCCGGGCCTCCTGCTCCCGCGGAGCCTGCGCTGGCGCCAGTGCCTGCAGAGCAGCCGGAGCTCCCTGGACAAAACGTGCGCTCGTAGGGCTGCACTTCCTAGGGCACCATAGGGTTTAGGGTTTAGGGTTTCGGGTTGAGGGTTCCTTAGGCAAGAGGGCCCTTAGTTTGTATAGGGTATGTAAGGGGTACATAGGGGGCACCCTTCGAAGGGCCCATACGGGTCGGGTAAAGCGCTCAAAGGTTCAGGATCTGTTTTTGAGCTCTAGGGCGCTTATACAGCAGTCTTCTCAGGCGATCGAGTGTAGTTGCGAGAGGGGACTGAGATGTTCAGAAGTTTAGGCTGAGAAAGAGTCAACATGGCGAAATGTGCTCCTGCCTCCAACAACGGCAATGTTGACTGGCCGGGCTTCATGTTTTTCCTATTTGTGCATGGGGTGGCACCCATCTACAAAGTCATGGGGTTGGGTTTTCGCAAGCATGCGCTGGCTGCAAATTGAAGGTATCAAGTCTGCATCGGCGCAAACAGGCAACCTTCAAGTCTGCATAGGCCCAAGCAGAAAACTCAGGGCATCAAGTTTGCATCTGCCCAAAACTTACTTCGCCTTCAGTTGAACTTTACACTTTTTGGGTTTCCTTATTTAGTAGGAATAATAAAGTTTAACCTTGTTTTCCCCTTGGTTATTGGAGAAGTCAGAAAAAGGAAACTCAAGGCATCAATCTCAAAAAGTAAACTCAAGGACTCAGGCCGCCACCCTCCACCCAGCTTTGCAAACGCACACTGGTTTAGGGTTTAGGGTTTAGGGTTCAGGGTTTAGGGTTTAGGGCTTCTTGTACTGCGCGGATGTTACAGTGAGATCCCTGATGTGAGGTCTGGCCCTGAGATTTCTATCGCCGACGGTGAGCCTCCCAAGGACGGCCGTCGCTGAGCAAACGCCATCTAGCGAATGGTTGTGTCGGTTGTGTTCTCTATCAGGTACGTTGCCATCTTCAAAAAAGTCGCAAACAAGCCTCGAAGAGTGCACAATCCTTCCTTAGGGGGGGGGGGGGGCTAGTATTTTCTTTGAGTCCTTCAAGCCACAAACCAGGTTTCAAACTTGTTGTCATGGCACATGCGTCTTCAACTCCTGCTTTAGGAGGCCATGGACAGTTTTCTCCGAGACCTGCGGCGTGCCAGTCGACCCCAGCTGCACGCCCAGAAAGGTTGAGTGGCTTAGTTGTTTGAGGCTTTAAACCGGGGGCTATAACAAGACTTGTAAGTAGAACGCGGACCGTATCAAGCACTGAAGCACTGTCTAAAATCTGACTTCTACGCCCCAAGCGGTGTGCCGAGCAAATGTCAGCCGGGCAAGGCGGGGCAGCCATGACTCTGCGATTCACTCCTTCGACACGCTGCAGAGGCAGTTCAGATCAGTTCAGGGTTGAGCTTGCGAAGGACACGCATGGAACGTCCTGGGATGCTCGGCCGTACAGAAATGTTTGCCTAGGAGGTCGCCGGCGCAATATCCAGCACGCTCCTATGGCCCCCGGAACAGGATCAACCAAGGCTACAGTCTTGTACGTATTCCCAGATCTTCCAAAACCCCTTAATTAAGGTATATAACTTAATTCCTAATAAGGATCCTTAGTATAAATTAGGGCATCTTCTTTAATTAAGGGATCTTGGAAGATCTGGGTTCATACAGTTACGAAAGGAACCGAGTCGGGTGAAGGGCTGACATTTGTGCAGGCAAGGTCTCGTGGTGAGCTTGGTACTTTGGCCTTGGTGTGGGGTGGGCAGGACCTGTACAGGAGACCTCAACCGGTCAGAATGGCAAGTGTGAAGCTATCGCACTCCCGGACTGTTCCTTAGTACACCAAGTTACTAAGAATGATAACTTGTGCTGCCCCGGGAGCTAGTAGGGCGTGGCCCTGTCGGCGCAAGCCAACTACGGCCAGCACTTTTTCAGCAGGCGGACACTGTGAACAGCAAGTGTCATCAGCAGCAAAGCAAGCGAACCGGGGACCAGTCCCGAACAAGCGGAGGATACACAGCAGCTGGCACCGGCGATCGCTACCTTAGTGTAGTTCCCCGGACCCTAAACCTAAACCGACGCCATAGTTAACAACCTCCAGCACAGTTTCGGCAACATGTTTAGTGACTCCTGCGTGGGCCTCGTTGTGTAGATGTTCTGGAAAAAAAACCCTAAACCCTAAACCCCTAAACCCCTAAACCCTAAACCCTAAACCCTTTGGACCTTTCATTGGGGACAGAAGTTAAGCCAGCGAAGCTTCAAGCCCTTGCACCTCGACCTGAATGAAGCCCCGCACCGCGCGAATGGAAGGTGAAACGAAGCAGGGCTAGGGTTTAGGGTTTAGGGTTTAGGGTTTAGGGTTTAGGGTTTAGGGTTTAGGGTTGCGCTTCCCTGCCAGCTCGGTATATGGGGACTTACGAAAACAGGGGAAATTGACCCCCTAAAGAGCAGGAGCCCCTTAGAATAAGGACCCCAAGAAGGTACCCTCATTTCGGAAGCCACCATATGAGAATCGTGAGAATCTGAAAGCCAAAGTCCACTTCAAAGCTGCCTGCAAGACGTCACAACACCAACTTTGATCACCCCTACTACTACTGACACCCAAACCCTCAACCCTGAATCCTGAACCCAACAACCCTAAACCCTAAACACAAAAACCCCAAGCCCTGAACCCAAACACCCTAAACCCTAAACCCAGAAACCCTCAACTCTGAAACCCTAAACCCTAAACCCAGAAACCCAGAAACCCTGAAAGCTTGAACCTGAGAGGGACCCGGAGACCCAACTTCTGCTGCGCGGCTGGCTCATCAAGCGGGCAAAGTTAAGGCCAGGCTGTTTTTTTGTTTTAAGTTTAGGGTTTAGGGTTTGGGGTTTAGGGTTTAGGGTTTAGGGTGTAGGGTCTTGGTGGCCCGAGCTGATGCTCTGAGTCTGGGTTCAAAAAAAGGGTTTAGGGTTCAGGGTTTAAGGTGGGCTTTGTTTTTTTGTTTGTTTGTGTGTGTGTGTGTCAAGGGCTTACAGTAAATTCCGAGTCTGCGACCATATCTACTGGGAGCAGGACTGGAGCTCTCATTCGGCTTAGTTCGACATGTCAACGTTAAAGCACCCAACCGCAATATTCACACACTGAGCTCCAACTACCCCTAAACCCTAAACCCTAAACCCTAAAGACCGTTGCGAGAGGCCCTTCCAGGACTCCTGGCAGGAACGGCTGTGCCTTCCTCAGACTTAGGGGCATGGCAATATGGGAGCTAAATATTGTTGGGCTAGCGCTTCCGTGACAGAAAGCCATGCTCGGGGCATAATCCGATATAACGCGGGTGCCATCGCCACTGACCCCACATCTTGCAGGTTTGAATCTAGTGAGAGGACCTTCGCCAGAACAGCATCTTCTTTTCTGTGGGCAACTTCCCGAACCGCATCTACAACACGAGCCCGGTTCAAGGTCACGCATTGTCCCTCCCTTCTCTATCTCCAGAGATAGGTCAAAACCCGAACCTAAACCTTACACTCAGCTTCTGCATCGGCCCGTGCTCGTCAATCTGCCCGGTTTGATTCCAGGCCGGCACAACTTGTCCACTCCGAATCTTCTTCCTGCTGAAGCGCTCCCTCAAACTCCCCAGCCCCGCCTAATCCGCCGTCGAGGGCTTCAGGGTTGTGTATAAGGAAGCTGCCAGGCCCTCTTTCACGAACCCTCAACCTCACATATGCCACTTGCCCAAAACACCGGGGTTTTGAACGTCGGGCTCTCAATGGATTGGTTTTGCTTCAGTGGGTGAGCAGCTTCTAGGGTTTAGGACAAGTAGTCGAAAAGAGCACCACAGTCAGAGTTTTTGCCAATTGGTGAAGCGTCTCAATCAGGGCATCTTGAGGGGTTCGCATGCACGAACCCATGCACGGACCACCGCTGCCCCCGAGCTTGTTGATTCTTGACCTGCCAGAAGCGCTGTCTTTTGTGCTGCCACGCAGCAAGACTTTAATTCTCTTTGGCCTGTTTCGAGCCCATGGCGCTGAATTTGCTGACAAAGACCCTCGTGGCATCCTTTTGTGGCGCGGCGCTCGCACAAGGCGGCTTGCCTGCGGCTTTTCATCTTCATATTTCCCTTATGTTCATGCGTGCTTCATGTGCTGAAGCTGTGCGCCACCATTTGTCGCGGAGGCGATGTTGCCCAGGAGCTGCTCCAGGATGACGATGTCTGCAATGCGGGCGAGGACACGGGGCACAGCAGGAATCTCTCCCGTTCCCGCCTCCAGCCCTCGACTCCGCCCCCCCCACCTCATTATCCAAGTGTATCCAAGTGCTCGAAAGCCTTCCGAAACCCTAAACCCCTAAACCCCTAAACCCCTAAACCCCTAAACCCTAAACCCCTAAACCCCTAAACCCTCAACCCTCAACCCTCAACCCTCAGCCTTGTCTGGCTTTCAGGGCCCTATAGGCTACAGACTCTGCTTGGGTCAGGGGAACCCAAGTTTCAGCCAATGCTAGGCGTGTGACCTCTCTCTTCGACAGCTTCGAGGCAGAGGAGGGTTGTTTCGGACTTCAGGGTTTTTCGGCCTTGGCCTCAGGGCCCCTAAACCCTAAACCCTACACCCTAACCCTTTGAGAGGCTTTTCAGACTTGTAAGCTTATGTGGGTTGAAAGCTTTCGGGCTCCAAAGCCCTCACATTTTGTTCCCGGGGTATGAGTTTCCTGTGTAAATCTTCACTCCCCACCGTGATCCGCCAAATGCATCACGTCAACCGCCCAGTGAAGCTTTTGAGAAGGTCTGGCGATCGTGGAAAACGCCAGCAACGCGAGTGGCGAGGCAGCTCGGATGGTAGGGCTTAGGCTTTAGGGTTTCGGGTTTCGGGTTTAGGGTTAGGGTTTAGGGTTTAGGGTTTAGGGTTTAGGGTTTAGGGTTTAGGGTTTAGGGTTAGGGTTCAGGGTTTAGGGTTTAGGGTTTGGGCTTACGGGGCCCAGACCTCGCCACATCAGAAGCAGAATCTACCTGCACTCCTCAAGCCGGTTTAGACGAGAGGATCTGGCCTTTCTAGGGGTTAGAGCTCACTCGCCCTAAACCCTAAACCCTAAACCCTGAACCCTGAACCCTGAACCCAAACACCCTAAACCCTAAACCCTATAAACCCTATAAACCCTATAAACCCTAAACCCTAAACCAAACTCCGCGTCCATGGCCAGGAAAAAGATGCCCTGGGCTCGGCATGGGGCAGCTGCAAGCGCTTTGGCTTAGGGTTTCAATCCTAGGGAACACATGAACCCTAAAAGCGTTTATGAGGGTTTAGGGTTTAGGGTTTAGGGTCTTAATAAGAATTAGAGTAGTATAGGGTATATAACCCCCCCCCCCCCCTTTAGGGTTCATTCGTCTGCATGGCTTAGGGCCTAGGGGTGGCCACCTAATCAGTCGCGTTGAGAAATCGTAAACAAGCTTTTGGAGCTTGAAGCTTCCAATAAAAGGGGGTGGGCCTAAACCCACGGTTTAGGGTTTAGGGTTTTTATAGGGTTTAGGGTTTATTAGGGGGGTGCGGGGGCCCGGGAGGGGGGGGCAGAGGGGCGCGGGTTTGGGGGGGGGGGGGGGCACAACAGCAAGCAAATCCCAAGGCTAAGAAGCCCGAAAATGCCTCACTGCGCTGAACTCTTTAGTCCCTTCCCCGAAATTTTTGCAATTCCATCATGTTTCTTTCCGGATGCGGCCCATATACCAGTTCCCAGATACCACCGCTATTCTTGAATACCTAGATGGATTTTGGTGGGTGTGTCACGCAGTGCAGGCTGCCAGCAAGACTTAACACTGGTTCAACGGCAGGATGGGCTATTATACCCTATAATCCCTTAAGGCCCTTTATAGGGTTCATTATGGGGGTTTTAAGTCCTAAGAATAGCCCATCCTGGTATCATGATGCGTGGAGTGGAATTGTTCTTCACTTTAGAGGGCAAGTTGTAATCATGGTATGCTCAAACCGAACAACTCGGAGCCCCAGTTCGCCTTTAGGGTTTAGGGTTTAGGGTTTAGGGCTTAGGGTTTCATCTGAGGTCTTACGGCTGCCCCTCGTCTTACCATCCTTCGCACCACTGCCAATGCAACCGCAAGTGCGAGGACTGAAGCCAAGAAGGTCGAGCTTTGTGGGCTTCCCCTTTAGGGTTTAGGGTTTAGGGTTTAGGGTTTAGGGTTCGCACAACCCGACCAAAGTGGAAGCCCGCGAGAAAACCCCTATAGCAGCCCTAACAATCCGGGTCAACCCCCTAAACCCTAGACCCTAGACCCCTAGACCCCTAGACCCCTAGACCCCTAGACCCCTAAACCCTAAACCCTAAACCCTAAACCCTAAACCCTAAACCCTAAACCCTAAACCCTAAACCCCACACCCACGGCTCCAGAACTACGGCAACTGCTGCGCCGACATCGCCAGCTGTAGCGCACCGTCTCCCCCTGCAGAGCTTCCCGCAGGAGCCCTTTCCTTGGGACCTCAAGGGTTTAGGGTTTAGGGTTTAGGGTTTAGGGTTTAGGGTTTAGGGTTTAGGGTTTGAAACTCGTCCTTGGCGAGATGGACCGGAAAGTTCAGGGGTTTGCTTGGGATCACCAGCTAGCGGATGGCATCAGCGTCAGCGCACCTGGAACATTGGCATTCGTATGACATCTTTTTGGGGATCGTGCAACAGAGTTTCTCGCACCCAGGAAAGTGTGCGAGATGGCTCACCCCGAAATATGTCCGGCGTAGTGGTTTGGCACCACTACCACTCCCAATAGCCGCGAGTCCAGCACACCGTGCCAATCGTGCTACGACAGTTGACTGTCTCGAGCGGGCCTTGTGGCTAACCCATTGATGAAGGAATGCTGGACACTCAGGGATATGATTCCCCAACCAGGGAGGACGCCCTGGCGCGAACGGCCCGGCCTGTCCCTGAGACAGGAAGCAGATCAGACTATCCGATGTGTTTCAGCTCAACTAGGTCTCTTAGCCACGAAATCCCCGATTGCATTGTCGTTCAGCAGGGGAGTCGATCGATGCATGTCCCTGCTGGGCATCCTACCAAAGATGCCCAGCAGGGAAGTCATCGATCAAAGTTGCTCAGCAGAGAAATCCATCGATCTTGTTGCCAATGCGCACAGCTTACGACTCTCCGTTTTGTTGTTCAGATTGCTCGCTCTGAACATCTCGATGGGCGCTAACCTCCAGAAAAGTCTGTTGGTTTTTCAGGTATTTTATTGCTGCATTGGGACTTTGCTTGGGATGTTTGACTTCCTTACGGCTTGTTGAGAAGAGTACTTGGCTGTATGTTGTTTCCGGGCCTTTCAGCAACACGGTACCCAGGTTGCGTTGAGCTGGCAAGGTAAAATGCCTGAAAACGAGCACCCGGTCGCTGGCAGTAGGTTCCACAGTCGAAAGATCGTTTAACCCCGGGCCAGAAAACTTCCTTCAGAAAAGTGCTGCCGAACTCTGTGCCTTGAGAGCTGCCTGTGGGGACTATGACTCTACGCAACGGCCCGAACCCTGAACCCTGAACCCTGAACCCTAAACCCTAAACCCCAAACCCTAAACCCTACACCCTAAACCCTAAACCCTAAACCCTAAACACCAACATCCGTGAGCTGGTACTCAAGAGTCGGTAAGCTGCTGACCAGGCGCGCCCGCGCATTCCGCACGCTCCGCACGGTACCCTAAACCCAACCCTAAACCCTAAACCCTAAACCCTAAACCCTAAACCCTAAACCCTAAACCCTAAACGACCAGGAGGCGGTGCCCGCATCAGGCCTGGGCAAGTGGCCGGCCATCCAGACCCTAGCAAGACGACGCTTTGGTGAGGAATTTTAGCAAGGAAGGGGGATCTGGTTCAGAAAGGCGTGCACACACACACACATATGTGTGTGTATATATATATATATATATAGTAAATAGATAAATAAACAAATAAATAAATAAATATATATATATATATATAATAGTATTCAGGGCCGGAGTCGGAGTGTGCTATGGCAATGCGAAGGTGCGAGTAGCTTTGTCTCGTGTCGGTGGAGGCTGTCGCGCCTCAACCCTAGGCCCTAAACGAGAGGCTGCTAGGCAGGTGGCAAAAACCCTAAACGAGATTGTGGGCGTTTCTTTCTGAAGGCCAAGGATTCAGACGGCACCATCCTTGTTCAGCGGCCATCCACACAACTGCATTCCGCGGGAGCCCATTCAAGGCTCCCTTCTTCCCATGTCTCAAGCTCATCACCCCGCCCTTCCTTAGGGTTTAGGGGTTAGGGTTTCAGGTTTAACAGTTCTCCTACGCCCAGGTACCCTTCGTATCCAGGATTTACTTTGGCCCTGGTAGAAGAGTTCGACAGCCCGCTCGACCTCGACAATGCCTCTCAAACTGACCAAGGGGTTTCCGACATTGCGGGCACCTTATTGGGGGTCCTTATTTTGGGTCTATATGAAGGGACCCTAAACCCTATACCCTACACCCTGAACCCCAAGGTTCAAGTACTCGGGGATGTTTGGGTTCAAGTTGTGGCCCGTTGGGAGAAACAAAGGGTTGTGATATGGGTCGCCATAGTTGTAGCTTCAGATTCAGATCTCCAAATCGCTCTACCAAGAAGTCATGTTTCTGTTATATAGGTACTTTGAGCACGTGCAGTGTTACCGTGTTGGGGTCCGGGCAGGGACACTGTCGAGCATCATCCTGTCTGCAGCTATAGCCATAGCACTGTATGCGATATCGAAGGTGAGTCTGTGTAATTCAACGTCAAGCCAATGCGGCACGGATCCTTCCAGAGCATTGAGCCGTTGCCCCATCGGCACGCCGGTGTACCCGGCCTTAAGCAAAGCATCCTGCACAAAGGATCCCATCTGGACCTGGTCCGATGGCGGCCTTTACGAGGGCGACGTGCGCTTCGTGCCCCTTGGTCAATTTGAAGTTTAATTACAAGGACTGGAGGTTCACACTCCACCCAAACAAGACCACACCACTTCGCATGACGGGCTATGGGCCGAAGCTGACATGATCTGCTGGAGTTTTTGGATTGGGGGAGCAAGGTCGTCTGAAGGCCATGTTTGTTTCTTTTGGCGGTTCCTGCCGGGGAGTTGTCGTTTTGGGAGAAAGTCATGGGATGGGTTTCAGGTTGAGTTTTGGCTGCAGGCTTGTTTCTTCGACATCCTTGTGTGGCTTTCGGTTTCATGTCAAGGGGATTTCAGGGTTCACTCCCCACAACAATCGCTGAACCTCTGACCACAAGTCCGAGCCGTCCCCAAATCTCCTCCGGAACTGTAGAAAGCAAATCGTATCCTCTCAGGGCAAGATCCTTGGGTCCTAAACCCTAAACCCTAAACCCTAAACCCTAAGCCCTAAACCCTAAACCCTAAACCCTAAACGGTATGTCGGACCCCCAAGAGTCGGCGGACAATCGGAGGAAAGAGCAGATCAAGTTCGAGGACTGCGTTCGGTTTCGGTTTACGGATAGACCCTAAACCCTAAACCCTAAACCCTAAACCCTAAACCCTAAACCCTAAACCCTAAACCCTAAACCCTAAACCCTAAACCCTAAACCGTAGTAACGGACCCCAAATGAGAGGGCTTTGGGGAGTGAAACCCTTCAAACGCCAAAGCCGACCGCTTTATGAACCCTTCGATAATGACTGGGCATGGCGCTTGCCTCCTCTTGCAGGAAACGCCGTTGACCATGCAGAAGTGGACAGTACTGTTAAACAACGTTTAAAGATTCGGTGCCGCAGATGTACATCGCCGTAGTTGAGACAGTACTTCGTTTTTGAAATTGCGACCATTTGGCGTCATTGGGCAGCAAATGCCCACAAAGCCAAACCCACAAACTGGCTCCTTCCTAAGACTCCCCAATATACCCTAACTCATAATAAGGATCCTTAGTATAAATTAGGGTTTAGGGTTTAGGGTTTAGGGTTTAGGGTTTAGGGTTTAGGGTATAAGGGGTTTTGGAAGATCTGGGTGTATGCGAAGGACGGAAAGATGAAGATCACGGCGGCCCCAAATCCGGGCGACTTGGACCATTCTAAACCCTAAACCCTAAACCCTAAACCCTAAACCCTAAACCCTAAACCCTAAACCCTAAACCCTAAACCCTAAACCCTGAACCCTGAACCCTGAACCCTGAACCCTAAACCCTAAACCCTAAACTGATTTTCGGCTCTTGCGATCGTTTTGGGAATGCACTTGCAGTGCACATGCCCGTGCAAGATTTCTTTGGGCTGACGCATGCCTGTCGGCAAGCGCAGTTTTTCAATGGCCGCCTTTTCCGATGGCTGAAGGGCTTTCGGAAAACATGACAGGCAGGAGGCACGCATCGTCAAGAAACATCCCAGATCTTCCAAAACCCCTTAACTAAGGTATGTACCTTAATTCCTAATAAGGATCCTTAGTATAAATTATAGGGTCATATTCCTGAATTAAGGGGCTTTGGAAGATCTGGGATGCCATCCAGAAACATGCGCATCACGGAGCTCCATGGGGCGAGCTGCAGGGGGACCCGTGCTTTCACATTTTCTCATCTAGGCCCCTGGGACATTTTATATTTTTCCCTTATTGGGTTTAAGAGGATCATATCTACGAATATTTTTCAAAGAGCTTTAAGGGCCATCCTAGTCATGTTGCAGCTAGGTATGCTGCAGTTGTTTTCTGTGTCGTGCTTGTTTGCTTGTTGCTCCCCACCCTCTGTACGACTCGGCGTGAGGGAACAACATCCTCAACCGACACAGTTCCTCTCCCGTGCCATTCCATGCCTCGCAGATCCAGAGGCCCATGGTGGCTGCAGCGCCCACATTCAGATATATCTCCGGTGATTTTGCAACGATTTTGCAACCCCAGATGCTCCCTAGAGTCCCTCCTGAGGATGCCCGCGTTGCCCCTCGAAATGTCAAATTCAAAATGTCCAATTCGAGCTTTTTGTGCAAGTGTCGTGCCCCAATCAGGGTGGGGATGCTCGAGTGAATTTCGATTTCACGAGCCTACCACCAAATTGAAGCTGCAAGAGAAGTAAGGCATCGCGACACAGGCCTGCTCACATGCTGAGGCGCCTGGGCAACTGGTGGGTTTACAAACGAATACAAGACTTGGGAAGTCCCGTGGTGCTCTCAACGGCAGACACCCAAAGACCCTTTTCACCCCAAGCCACTCGAACCCGAAACCCTCAAAACCCCTTACCCCTGAAAACAGGTTGGTACCGTCGCAAACAAGCCGTTGGTGAGTGGTGAGTTCCGCTCTCGGAGGACTGCACCCATCACCCACCGATCTCATCTAAGTCGGACTGGGTTTTCGGATGACTCGGCGAGATCCAATATGCAAGCTCGTCTTGACAATGCTTTCCTTGTGGGCCTAGAGCAAACCTAGATTCGTCAATGCAGGGATCTTTTTTTTTGCCAGGTTTAGAGGTTGGAGGTGTTGTGGATATATTGCTGCGACGACGGTCTCGGTCTCTTGAGGCTCGAACCTTAATATTGGCAGCACAAAAACGGCCCTGAACACACCTTGTCCAAGGAACCTGTACAAAGATTCGTTCGCAGTCTAGGACGTAAAAGACACGGCCGGGCCTCGGACAGGAACACCTTCAGATATGGTCGCTACGAGGCAGGGAGCCAGGTCGAACAAACTGCTGGATGCTTTCTGGGGATTCCACTATTAATTTGCTTAAGAGCCCCAAAGGATTAATGCGTAATACTCCGCAGATTACCCTTGTAAGAAAGAATTTTTCTGGGGAGTTCTTAGGCAATTCTTTCCTTGCGTACCCAGAAAGCCCGGGAGAGTTCGCAAACTCCCCCACCTCCCCCCCCACCTCCCCCCTCAAACAATTTCAATGCGCAATAGGAAGGTAGGTTTTCTCACCCTCACCCTCTGAATCAACCTTGGGAAAAGTGGGGAGGGAGCTCACCCTAAACCCTAAGCCCCAAACCCTAAACCCTAAACCCTAAACCCTAAACCCTAAACCCTAAACCCTGAACCCTGAACCCTGAACCCTGAACCCTGAACCCTGAACCCTGAACCCTGAACCCTGAACCCTGAACCCTACGGGAAGGGACAGCCTGTGGGACCACTCCAGGGCCTATTGTGGCTTGTCCAGAGGACTCGCCCCCTGAAAGCTTGATCGCCTGGCTGTTTTCCCTAAACCCTAAACCCTAAACCCTAAACCCTAAACCCTAAACCCTAAACCCTAAACCCTAAACCCCAAACCCTAAACCCTAAACCCTAAACCCTAATCCGAGCATCTGTTTAATTGGGAGGGCCCCCCCCCCCCCCCACCCCCCACAATAAGAAAAGCAGGGTTCCGCAATAGTTGGACCATGGCCCTGTATTGTTTCTCGATTTAAACAAATGTTTCACATCGATCCAAACTTTCCTGCAGAAGAAAAAAGGCTTTCCGAAGAGCTGGGTTCAAAATTTTGCAACCCCTCAAAAAACTCCTTTAAATGTGGTGGGTTTGCCCCATACGAAATCCACCCTAATGGAAAGTAGTCTTCCGGCGGGCTTCCGGCCAAAAACAATTTCTTTAAATGTGGGGGTATTAATTAAACAGATGCTCGGATTACAATGGTTGCGGGGCCGGACAGAGAGTTTCAGCGACCAAGGCCTCTAGGAAGCTCAACGGCCTGAAGTGTATTGAGGTTCCTCAGCTTCCACCACCCGAAAATAATTTTGGCCGGGGCGGCACTTTACTATTCTGCCTCGGCAACGTTTCGCACTGTTACGATCCGCGTGTCATATTTTTTGACTCAACTGTGAACCACTAATCATCTCCGTGTTTCGGCAACATTTCGCACACATTCGAACTGCATTACTCACACACTGAAGCGGCAGGTGCGCATGAAGGCGCCAGAAGTGCAGCCAGGAAATGCTGACATCGATGGGAACTTCGGCTGCAGCCCCTCTTGGGTTCCGGAGTCTGGGTTGTGGCCGTGCTGCTTGCCCAGACCAACACAGCCGCTGCAGTCAACAATCACTCTAGTTCGGATGGCCGGAGTTCAATGCGGATTCATGTCCAGGCATCGGGTTTCTGTGTCATGCTTTTGTCCTCCTTGCCTTTGCATTTAGATTGGGGGGGGGGGGGCTTCTTGCCACAAACAAAAAAGGCTGCACCGATGTCTTCCGAAGAGGGGCGGGTATTTCTTGTGCACGACTTGATCGTGAGAAGGGCGGTCGCTTTTGCCTCTGTCGACGAAGAGGATTGCTTCTTTGCAGTTTCGCACGGCAGCATCTAAACCTGCTTTAGCACTCCAAGCCCTATCCCCAAACACAAAGTCTGGACAAGGGCCGACCCTAAAACCCTAAACCCTAAGCCTTCTGCGCAAAGTGGCCTTTTCAAGTTGAGTGCCGGCGTTTCAGTTTCATGCTAAAAACCTTGGGGACCAAATGAACCCGAAAGGGGTTTCTGGTCCAAATACCTTGATAAGAAATTCTGGTAGTGTATAGGGTATATAGCTCCCCATTTTAGTCCCCAAGGAAGTCGACGGTTGAAACTCTCAGACGCGCCAGGAACCCTAAACCCTAAACCCCAAACCCTAAACCCTAAACCCTAAAGGAACTTCATCGCCACGATGTTCATCTTCAGGGATGCCAAGTTCCGGCACTGGCGGGAGATTGACATTGAAGTCACAGGCCGTAGCCTAACTCTAGCTGTACATCTAACTCTTAGCTCAGACTCTTATAACTCTACCTCTATAGCTCTAACTCTACCTTGGGGACCAAATGAACCCTAAAATTGGGGTCATATACCCATTACTACTATAATTCCTATTGAGGTATATGAACCATAAACCCTTCTAGGGTTCATTTCGTCCCCAAGGCAAGCACCACGGCTCGAACTGTGCGTAGTCGTAGTCGTAGAGGTGACGCGTGAACAGCAAGTAAACCCTAAACCCTAAACCCTAAACCCTAAACCCTAAACCCTAAATCCCTAAACCCTAAACCCTCCTTGTTTGTATGGGAGATGTAACAAACCTCTGTGAAGGATGGAGGGGCGTCTGACCCCCCTCTTTGAAAATGAGGGTTTATAGGGTTTAGGGTTTAGGGTTTAGGGTTTAGGGTTTAGGGTTTAGGGTTTAGGGTTTATAGGGTTTAGGGGGCTCAGATTTCGGATTTTAATATTCTCGCACGCGTGAAGGTGCATGGCTGCGTTTGAAAGAGTGCTGACATGCCAGAAGCTTCTAGTACGCCTTAGGAGAAACCCTAAACCCTTGGTGTTTCACTCCGGCGCCCGATATTCGCTCTTCGGGGATGGTGCTGCAGAAGCCCTAAAACCCGAAACCCTGAACCCTAAACCCTGTAAACCCTAACATTTGGCGGGTCATTCGGTTGCAGGGGATGCCCCCAACTCCGTGACGACGAACGTGCTCCGCGCCGACAACACCGAACCTGGGCCTAGGGCTGCTTGAGAGTGGTGTTTTTTTTGGTTTAGGGTTTAGGTTTTAGGGTTTAGGGTTTGGGGTTTAGGGTTTAGGGTTTAGGGTTTTTCTATCGGCAGGAATGTCAAGGGTGGCTGTGCAGAATTTGTAACTGAATCATGTTGCTGTTGCGACAGGCGTGTTTCCAGACCCCAGTTTTTCAACCTCCACCATCCCCACCTGTCACCTACATAGCTACAAAATGCAGGTATGGTAACTCACGAGTTCCGTCTCAGCCTTGAGCCACGTTCCCAGTGACGCCCAAAAAAAGCTGTGTCAGGGCATGAAAGTTACAGTTTTGGGGGACCATATTGGGTGAGGGCATGTTTTCTCCGCTTGGAGGCATTCCACGGTCCAGCCTTGGGGGTTCCCTACATCACCCTTTTCTTGCAATGCCCAACAGCGCATTCCTTCTACTGCAGGTTTTTTATTGGCTTCTCTCCCTGACACCTCATGCAGGGCATGGGCTTGTAGGAAAGAACCTTCGTGACAAACCTCTATAGGGTTCTCAAGGGAGCGGGGGTTCAAGGAGGGGAACCTTCAGGAAGACCCTAAACCCAAAACCCTAAACCCTAAACCCTTAGGGCGCCTTACAAATTCGTGGGGGAGTATTGGGTGGACCTTGGGTTACATACTCCCCCTTGAGCCCCCCTCCCTGAAGAACCCTATAGAACCCTGGGTTGTGCTTTGGGATAGTTTTCAATTTCCCTTCTTTCCTTATAAAGGGAACCGATTCACAAATAATTATCAAAGGGTTTAAAGCACAACGCAGAACCTTATTCAGGGAACTCTTCCCTCCCTAGGAGTGGTGGAGCCCACGGATCGCAGCATCTAAAGAGAGCTGCCTGTCTTGCATTGGCGGGTTGAAGGTTTCGACTTGTCCCCGAATCAAACCCTAAACCCTATAAACCGGATAAACCCTGAACCCTAAACCCATAAACCCTATAAACCCTATAAACCCTATAAACCCTATAAACCCGATAAACCCTATAAACCCTAAATCCGATGAACCCCTAAACCCTGAACCCCAAACCGCAACACACGGAAGTTCAGAATGCATCCTTTTCGCTGGCGCTTGTGTTCGTCGCCACGTGTTCGCCTGGACCGGGTGATCTATGCCGGTCTGAGATGCTGCGACTGGTTCTTTTGTACTGGTCGGGTCGTTGCCACAACTGTAGCTGCAGCGGCAGCTGTAACAGAGGTCGGGTCTTTGCCGAAACTGTAGCTGCAGCTGCAGCGGCAGCTGCAACAGAAGCAGTCAAAGGTTTGGCCTTAACCAGCTCCCGAAATGGGGGGTTTACGAACAGCCTTAATATAGTCCACCAAACAGTAGGATTCCCTTATAAACAAGGACCCCAGGTACCCCGAATTTCAGCAACCTCCAGAAATGCCCCCCTGAAGTGCTCGAGCCCTTCGCCTTCGCCCAAATCTTACACCCTCACAGGTCACGTGCAGGGCAATGCCAGAGCTGAGTTCCACACCTATGGCTTCGACACTTGGCCTGTCAGCGCATTTCTTCTTCAAGCTGCAACGACCACATGTGTTAATTTGAGCTAGATCCTTGTTCGCCGCTGCACAGTAGATCGAGGCCGCGGACGCCACACTTCTGAGGCAATTGCCAGCATACTGTTAACATTGCAAGTGACCTCCTCGTCTGCTGAACAACATGGCATCCACATAATGCTTAAGATGAGGATTGTCCAAATAGAGCTCTCAGCGGACTTGTGAAGAGCCACTTACCAGCCCAGCGTGACAGTTAAAAAACATCGGCCCCTGAACCCTGCATTCTTGACGCGCCCTCCGACCTGCAAAAAGCCCCATGTTATGTGCTGCACTTCATATCAACAAATCCCACGAAAGCCCACAAGCGACACGTCTATCCTGAATGCTTCCTTGAACCCCTTTGACCCGAAAACGAGCCCAGGAACCCTAAACCCTAAACCCCTCTGACCCAAAAAACGAGCCCAGGAGTGGTTGCCCGACCGAGTGACCTGGTACATCGACGGGAGAGCCGTGAGGAGTCCGCCAGTTTAGGGTTTAGGGTTTAGGGTTTTAGGGTGTAGGGTTTAGGGTTTAGCAAATGGCACAGCAGCCTTGAGCATCATACTGAATCTCGTATTGTGTTGCTTTGGTGTTCTCATGGGCGTGTTTTTGCTTGCGGTGATTGTTAGACAGGGACTGGAGGTTTGAATTCCTTTTTGCGCCAGGTCCGAGCCGAGTTTAGGGTTTAGGGTTTAGGGTTTAGGGTTTAGGGTTTAGGGCTCCAAGCCTAATCCTTATTCTGCCTTTTCCATTGGTGGCCGAGAAGTCAGTTCCCACTGTTAGTTTAAGAACCCCCCCAAAATAGAAAAGTTTCTTCCTTATAAGGGCAATATAGGATAATTAATTTTTTGAGGGGGGGCTCTTCAGCAGAAGTCGGTTCCTACTATTAGTTTAAGAGCCCTAAAATTAGAAAAATGTTCTTCCTTATAAGGGCAAAGCAGGGATTGTTTTTTTTGGGGGGGGCTCTTCAGCACATAGTATGTTCCAAGGAAAAGCCTTGCCTCTGAAGAGGAGCCACTACGGCGGACACCCGCCGATCCCGGACAAGTCGGCGAAGGTCATGATGAACTTGTGGATCTTCGGGCCCAAGGCCGAAGTTCGAGTTTATTCTACGGGGTTTAGGGCTTAGGGTTTAGGGTTTAGGGTTTAGGGTTTAGGGTTTAGGGTTTAGGGTTTAGGGTTTGGTCGTTGCCGGACAAGCAAGCTGATGTGGGACATGGGCTTTGCTGGTTTGGAGGCCAACTTCGGCGGAAAGCAGATCCGCAACAACCGCTATCCCATGACCAACGAGCACCTTGATCAGGCTTAGCCTCCCTTGCTGGATTTAGGGTTTAGGGTTTAGGGTTTAGGGTTTAGGGTTTAGGGTTTAGGGTTTAGGGTTTAGGGTGAGCCTTCAGAACCTTTGTCTGCCTCAGGGGGCGTAATATAGGTGTCGGAACAATTATTAAATAGTAGTATTCCCTTATGGTCCCTTTATAATTTACACCACAAGATCCCCCCCCCCCCAAAACCCTATCCTACTTGTTGAGGCCCCTATATTACTTACTTCGCCTTTAGTTGAACTTTAAACTTTTTGGGTTTCCTTATTTAGTAGGAATAATAAAGTTTAACCTTGTTTTCCCCTTGGTTATTGGAGAAGTAAGATTACGACTCATTAGATGGGTCCTCAAAAAAGGCAGCATGAAGGGCAGCCCTCAGCTCCTGGCAACATGAGGCTATAGCAATGTCCTGGGTTTAGGGTTTAGGGTTTCGGGTTTAGGGTTTAGGGTTTAGGGTTTAGGGTTTAGGGTTTAGGGTTTAGGGTTTAGGGTTTAGGGACTTCTGACGCCATTTTTTGCAACAGCCGAATGGCCGAGGTACGACTGGTTCCGCTTCTACAAGTGGGACGGCGAGACCACCTACCCATGCGCCGCCTCTCGGACACACAGGGGGGCAGCAGGGTGCATGTACGGAGCTGATCCAGTCCCGAAGCCGTGAAACATCCACACCCTAAGCCCAGCAATCCGGCTCCATGCATGTAGAAAGGCCATCGCTTCTCATAAGCTTTCAGGCATACTCATATGTTTATGTTTTGGAGCTTTGCTGGCCTTCCTTGAACCAATTTGGCCCCGCATGCCGGCGCCCGCCAAGGGCTTCTCCTCGTCGTGCCTCTCCAGCGATGTCGCTTGGATCCAAGGATCCAAGTCCTAGGCTGGGGTATTAGGCCTTATCATCCCCATAGTGAACCCTATAAGGGCTTTTTTAAGGGATTATAGGGCATAATAGCCCTAAACCCTAAACCCTAAACTCTAAACCCTAAACCCTAAACCGCATCACGTGCTAAGCCGTCAGCTTAGGGCCTATGGTAGAAGGCTGGGCATGGGGCCATGGGGGTAGGGCCTGGGGGCGCTGGGGCCATGAAGCCATGGGGCCAGGGCCGTGTTGGTGCTGGAAGCTGGGGGAGTTGGGGTGGGGTGGGAGCGGCAAGCGCCTTGGTTGGGGGACGTAGATGAGGTGGGGGAGGGGGGGTTGAGGGGGCGGGGGGCTTGGGGGGTGGGGGCGGGTGGGAGTTGGGGTAGCGCTTGGCGGACTGTCATGGATGAGGTGGAAGGTCTAGAAAGCAGTGGGTCTTCACGGACGCCGCCCCCGGCTGGGGTGGTGCACTCGATATCCTTGGAAACTCTTTTCGATCTTCCGAACCCACGGCCGACTATCCACGATGGGTAAGACGGCTGCTGTGTTTGTTGACAATCTCCCCCGCCTGGGGTCTGGAGTGGTGTACTCTGCCGACAGCGTGTTCCGCTCCGAGATCAAGGAGGGTTGAGTGAGCGTGAGCGGGTCTCCGTCTCCGTGCTGACTGAGTACGCCGGTCCGGACGTCGCTTTATTGCGTGTCTGGGTTCTCCGACGTGCGGCCAAACAGTACGGAGTTGGTGTCGAGGACTTTTTGTTCCGCGTCTACCGCTATTGCGTGGTGGAGCCGTCGCACGTCGTCGTGCTGGCCCCCGTGCCCAACGGTGTGGTGTTGAGCGACTATTTGATGCCTCTCACCAAGCGCGAAAAGCAGTGCATGCTAACGGCACCTATCAGTTCGTTTTGCCTGCCCGCCGTCGGAGCGGCCCCTGTCGAGCTTGACGTGCCGTCACCGGTTTTCTCAGGCACCGGGAGCACATACGTTGCTTCCTCGGGGCCTGTGTCTCCCATGTCCGGAGAGCGTTTTCTCCGCCACGCGGGGGTTCACTTCGAGGACAAGGAAACCGAGGAGATTGTTCAGGGTCAGGGGGAGTCCTCCTCTGCTGTACAAATGCGCTGACAACCTGGGTGGGTCCCTGAAATGTTGGTTACAATATGATTGGCTGCCTTTGGTAGTCTCTTTTTGCTTTTGTTTCAGATCGGGGGACCCGCGCAAGGTTGGAACGGATAGTAGTGGTGCACTGAATCGGCTATTCCCGTAACGAAGGGTTCTGGTTCTTTAGGGTGCTGGGTGTTGATGGTGATGTGTGGCTTTTATGACAAAGGGAATAGCATGTAATTCTACAGGTCCTGTAGTGGACCCCCTTTCTCCAAATGGACATGTCATCGACGTAACCCTGCCCTGCGGTTCGGCCAGCTATGCGGGAGCGAAAAAAAGCCCTAAACCCTAAACCCTATAAAGGGCCCTTTAAGGGATTCTCGGGTAGCATAGCCCATCCCGGACTGCTACAAATCACGGGGCTTCAGAGGGTTTTGCATCCCTGGAGTGCGGTGCGAGGCTGCGAGGCAGGAGGTGCGCACCACCAGGATGGGCTATTCGGGTTTAGGGTTTAGGGTTTAGGGTTTAGGGTTTAGGGTTTAGGGTTTTAGGGTTTTAGGGTTTTAGGGTTTTAGGGTTTTAGGGTTTTAGGGTTTAGGACCCTATATGGGGCTTTTTAAGGGTTTTTAGGGTAGAATAGCCCGTCCTGGCATGGGCCCCTTGTGCAGGGGTAGGCTTGAACATGATTTTCAATTCTTATTGCCATTTGTTTGGGGTTGGGTTCAGGGTTCAGGGTTCAGGGTTTAGGGTTCAGGGTTCAGTGTTCAGGGTTCAGGGTTTAGGGTTTAGGGTTTAGGGTTACTCTTGATCCCTGTATAATCCTTTGGGTGCTTAAGTCCTGTCTCAATGCTTTTTGAGTTCCTATGTCAGACTTCAAGGGTGAAGTCCATCTTTCGGCTCCAGGCTCGCGCGCAGGAAAAAGGTTACTGGATGGGTTTAGGGTTTAGGGTTTAGGGTTTAGGGTTTAGGGTTTAGGGTTGCTCTCTGTCTCTTCACCCCGTGTAAAGTGTCCTGCTGTATTTTGACAGCCTGAGTCCGTCGGTCGATCTGATGTTGGAGCAAGGGGCTGTTCATGCAGAGAGGGGGAAGAAATCTTCGGATAGCCAAGCCTCGGGCTTGGAGATTTCAGGATATTTTTGTTACGACATGTGCTCCTACTTCCGTCCTCAGGAGTCTCCTGACTCAGCTCAAGAGTTGAAGGGGTCGTCCCCCTGGCACCGCGAACCACGAAGCGATCGGAATCGGAAGTAGCAGCGGTTTTTGGTTTTGCCGCAGTAACCGAAGGGATCACAGCAGATCAGGGGCTGTGCCTCGCAACTGGCAGACGCTGGCGGCGCAGGCGAAAGCGCTGCGACGGCTGCATCCCCCGTCATACTGGGTTTAGGGTTTTTAGGGTTTTTAGGGTTTTTAGGGTTTTTAGGGTTTTTAGGGTTTTTAGGGTTTTTAGGGTTTTTAGGGTTGTTAGGGTTGTTAGGGTTGTTAGGGTTGTTAGGGTTGTTAGGGGTTTGGGGTTTTTTGGGGTTTTTGGGGTTGGCATGGCCCGCTTCCAGGCTCGTGACTGACACGGCGCCGCCGGTGCTGGTCGCACAGTGAAAGCCGGCCTATTGGAGAAGACGGGACGAAACACTGGGGAAACGGCAGGCCACTCTCTAGGCGTGTAGATCTACCAGGCAACAGCTGCTTGCTGGGCTTGGACGCTTGGAAAGCACCAGCATGCCCCACAACACAGAACAAATGGCTGCAGACTCTCCAGGAAGTTCCAGATGCCTTGACGGGCTCCTGGTGGCACCCAATCCAGGAAAAACCAGAACAGAATGACGAACTGTACGGACACGACTCGTGCGAGTCCAAGTCTGAGAACCCTTGTATAATCTTGATACCCTAAACCCTAAACCCTAAACCCTAAACCCTAAACCCTAAACCGTGCGCAGCAGGCTCAGGGCCAAGAGCCGGTCACGGGGTGCCTAAAATCTGGGTGGCGACCTCCGTTGTCCTGCTGTCACATGCTACCCTAAACCCTAAACCCTAAACCCTAAACCCTAAACCCTAGACCCTAGACCCTAGACCCTAAACCCTAAACCCTAACCCCTTTTTTCGTTGATGGCATTAATGTGTCGGAAGAGCAGCGAGGAGTTGGCATGGGTTTGGGGCTTTCGGGTTTTGATTGCGTGAACGTGCCTCACAAGCTGCAGCTAAAGATTGCCAGTACACCTCACCACTAGCCGAGAGTCGTATGTCACGCACCGTACGCAAGCTCTGACCCCAAAGCCCTAAACCTCAGCAGAAACTGCTTACTGTTGGCTAGTAGGGAATGGGGGACGAAGGTGCCATCCATAATCCGTTAAAGGATATATATAGATATGTATAGGGGGACATGGGGTACCTCATCTATAATCCCTTAAAGGGTATATATATATATATATATATGGGCGTCCGCCTATTGCGGTTCCCCTTATTTTTTTAGGTTTACATAAATGTATATATTTTAACCCTAAACCATCGTTATAACCACAGCAACAAGTCGATGATGATGTAAGTACCCCAAACCTATAGGGTTAAGTTTGACAGGTTTAGGGCTTAAGATTCAGGCATTTAAACGTCAGCCCGCAATGAAACCTAAACCCTAACCGTTCAACCCGATAGAGTTAAGGTTAAGCGGTTAGGGTTTAAGATTTAGGTATTTTTAAACTTTAAACCTAAACCCATAGAGATTTAACCTTAAGGGTTGAAAGTTCGGGCAGTTAAACCTTAACCCTGAACCGTTTAGGGTCAGAACCCTAAAACCCGACAGGGCTCTACAAGGAACAAAGGTTTTGACCCTAAAGGGTGCTGAAGGTATGCATGCCCAAACCTTAGGTTTTCTTGAACCATTCAACCCTACAGGGTTTAAAGGCTTAGGGTTTAAGGTTTAGGCATTACCTGTACGATAGAACCTGAAAGCCCTATAGGGCTTGGGGCTTAGATCCCTAAACCTTGAATCCCATAGGGCTATGCCTACGTTTGTAGGGCTTTCTTCCCGGTGACGCGAGAATACTGTGAGCAAATGTCCTTTTTCACTACTTCCTGGGATTCAAAATATAAACAAACCATATCGTTATATGATAGAATTCAGGTTTTGCTTATCGGGGGATGGTTGCTTGAGCTATCTTAGGTAAGGTAAGGATTTTAGGATAGAGGTTTTGTTTTGCTTATTGGGGCGTGATGGGGTTACCCTCATTTTCTTATAGGCTATTTACATGTATAAAAATCAAACCCTGAACCATAGTTATAACCGCAGCAAGAAGTTATAACCGTGTCATAAAGAAATTTCCGCAGAGCTCGTCAAATCCGATCATGATGTAGGCGCCCCAACCCTAGAGGGTTAAGGTTGACAGGTTTAGGGTTTATGATTGAGGCATTTAAACCTAAGCCGGCAATTCAACCTAAACCCGAACCTTTAAACCCTATAGAGTTAAGGTTTAAGGGGTTGGGGTTTAGGATTTAGGCATTTAAAACGAAAACTCGAAAAGTTTCAATCTTAAGTGTTTGAAGTTCGGGCATTCAGACCTTAACCCTGATTCGTTTAGGGTCAGAACCGTAAAACCCTATAGGGCTCCCAAAGGTTCAAAGATTTTAACCCTAAAGGGTACTGAAGGTATACATGCCCAGACCTTAGGTTGTCGAACCATTGAACCCTATAGGGTTTAACGGTTTAGGTTTAAGGTTTGGGCATTAATTACCAATACAATGGAACCTTAAAACACCCCAGAGCGCTTGGGGCTCAAATCCCCAAACCTTGAATCCCATAGGGTTATGCCTACGTTTGTAGCGCTTTCGTCCCGGTGACGCGAGAATACTGTGAGCAAATGTCCTTCCACTACTTCATGGGATTCAAAATATAAACAAAGAGGATAATTCAAGTTTTGCTTATCGGGGGATGGTTGCTTGAGCTATCTTAGGTAAGGTAAAGATTTTAGGATAGAGTTTTTGTTTTGCTTGAGCTATCTTAGGTAAGGTAAAGATTTTGGGATAGAGGTTTTGTTTTGCTTTTATTTTTGGGGCGTGATGGGGTTACCGTTGCCCTCATTTTCTTATAGGCTAATTTACATGTATATCAATCAAATCCTGAACCATAGTTATAACCGCAGCAAAAAGTTATAACCTTGTCATGTGCATATATCCGCAGAGCTCGTCACTTTCACTACTTGCTGGGATTCAACATATACACAAACTATATCGTTAAATGATGGAATTCAGGAATTGCGTATCGGGGGATGGTTGCTTGAGATATTTTAGCTAAGGTAAAGTATTTGGGATATTTCGCTTGTTGGGGGCGTGATGGGGCTCCCCTTATTCTTATGGGTTTACATAAGTGTATAAAAATCAAACCCTAACCCATAGTTATAACCACAGCAATAAGTTATAACCTTGTCATATAGAAATTTCCGCAGAGCTCGTCAAATCCGATCATGATGTAGGCGCCCCAACCCTAGAGGGTTAAGGTTGACAGGTTTAGGGTTTATGATTGAGGCACTTAAACCTAAGCCGGCAATTCAACCTAAACCCGAAGCTTTAAGCCCTATAGAGTTAAAGTTTAAGAATTAGGGTTTAAGGCGCAATCCCATATAGTATACGTATACTTCTGAGCAGAAAAGATACGGGAGACACTGCTTGCGATTCAGAATATTCGGAGCAGAAAGGATACAGGGGACACTGCTTGCGAATCAGAAGTTTAGGAGCAGAAAAGATGCGGTCGAGGTACCTCGGCAGGAGCACCATTAAACCATCAAACCATTAAACCAATAAACCATTAAACCATTAAACCAATGGTTTCCCCCTTATGAAAATCCCCTAAACCATTAAACCATTAAACCAATGGTTTCCCCCTTATGAAAATCCCTTAAACCATTAAGCCATTAAGCCATTAAGCCATTAAACCATTAAACCATTAAACCATTAAACCATTAAACCATTAAACCAATGGTTGCCCGCCATGAAAATGGTTTAATGGTTTAGGGGATTCCCATATGGGGGAAACCATTGGTTTAATGGTTTAATGGTTTAATGGTTTAATGGTTTAATGGTTTAGGGGATTTTCATAAGGGGGAAACCATTGGTTTAATGGTTTAATGGTTTAATGGTTTAATGGTTTAATGGTTTAATGGTTTAGGGGATTTTCAGAAGGGGGAAACCATTGGTTTAATGGTTTAATGGTATGGTTTAATGGTTTAATGGTTTAGGGGGAGACCATTGGTTTAATGGTTTGAGGGATTCTTGGTTAGATGGTTTACGGGAATGTGCAAAAAAACACAGGGGAACCGCTATAGGCGGTGACCCATATATATATATATATATATATTTGTATATATAGGTGGATATGGGGTACCTCATGCCCTATCAGCAGTAAGCCTGAGGACACGTATCTGGATGGAAACAACCCTTGCGATGGCCAACCCATGGTCGGATCCTGGCATCTTGGCTGCCCTAAAGAACAGGGTGTTTAGGGTTTAGGGTTTAGGGTTTAGGGTTTAGGGTTTATAATTTAGGGTTTAGGGTTTAGGGTTAGGGTTTAGGGTTTAGGGTTTAGGGTGCGGACCTGCCAGGGCCCTGAAGGTCTGTTGGGTTTGGGCTTGGGAGTCGCGGATGCCGCAAACCACTGTGACCCTGAAACCCTCGAACCGGCCTCGAACTCTTATTTCTGAATCCTCTCGCGTCTTGTCCAAAGGGGTCGGGTGTCAGAGATCCCCGCACCGCACTTTCACCGGCACCAAACGCCATTGCCAGGCATGGCAAGACAGCCTGCGCCGCATCCTGCCGATAGCTTTCGGGAGGCGTCCCGTTTGCTGTCGTTTGGTTTGGGGCTTGCAAGTTTGTGTTTCAGGCCATTGTTGTATCTGGAATTCTGGACTACAGGTGATTCACAGGTTGCGTCCGAAAGGCCCCACCAGCATGGAATGAGGGTCAATTTTTTTTGTATAGTCAGGCGCTCTCTGGCCCCTCCCATGGTCCAGGATCCCCGTCCCAATTTCCAGTTGTGGTCTTCCTCTGTGGTGTGGGGGGTGTGGTTGTTGGGGGGAGGCGTCTTCACCTCCCGTGGCGTGGGGTGTTTGGCATGTGGTCTGCTTTCCCTCCTCCTTCTGCTCCTGGACCAAACATCAGAAAACAGAGGGCCGCAACCCCACCAAAGCAAGGTCGGGGTTAGGTTTAGGGCAAGGCCGCAGGGCTTAAGCGGAACGTGGCAGGGTTTAGGCAGAGTTTAGGTTGGTTTTCACAGGGTTGAGGCAGTGTTTAGGGTCGGGCATAGGTTATTTCATGTGGTATTATAGGCTTTAGGTAGGCGGGCAGGGTTTGGGAGGGGTTTCGGGTTTACGGTTTAGGGTTTAGGGTTTGGGGCTTGGGGCCCTGTATGAAGCCTCTGCAAGGGTGCTGAGAAGGTCCCAGGCAGGCAGTGCAGCAGTCCTAGCCGTAAAAAAGGGTTTAGGGTTTAGGGTTTAGGGTTTAGGGTTTAGGGTTTAGGGTTTAGGGTTTAGGGTCGCACACAAGAGCCCTTCTGGGCTGGACTGCTCCAAGCCTTCAGAGGGATCAGGCGCTAGGATACACGGTGCGTTTGTGGTCCCGAATTAGGGTTTAGGGTTTAGGGTTTAGGGTTTAGGGTTTAGGGTTTAGGGTTTAGGGCCCCGATTGTTTCTTTTAACGGCTCCAAGCAAGCCCCGAAGTCCCCCTTGCGCCACCTCCCCCTCCCTGTCAGGAATTGGCATCCTTGGGGCCTTGTGAAGATTACCGGCTGAGCAAGGAGAGTGAAGGCTCACTACTGGTCTCAGGACCCTGCCATCGGGAGAGGTATTGGAGAGTCTTTCAGGTACCCTTTTTTATTATTCGACCATTTTGTGAGGGCCTGGGAAGTCCAAATTCGCAAGCTTTTGAGCAAGGCGGCCCTGTGCAGGCACCGCAAGGCAAGAAGCAGTGCAGCTGAGCTCCATCGGTGTCACTGCATGGTTAGGATCATCTTAGACATCATCTTAGACTCCAAGCCATCAAACTCATCGATGCACTGCAGTGGGCTCGCCGCATTTGTATTATGAGCTGTCCAATCTGGATAGGCTTCGCTTGATCGAGGGTTTTGCTCGATAAGGCGCTCGTCATTCCGCAGCGCTCTTTTGTTGCAGCTGCTCTTCTGTTAAGAGCCTGAAGCTCCCTAAACCGAAAGCGCAAGAGTATATTCCAGCTGGAATCCATTCATGGTCAGCTGCGGCGCCGTTCGCAGACCAGGGCTTCTTCAAGCCTCTGGTCCGTCCGTTTGAAGTTCTGCAAGCCTTTTGTGATCCCTTACTACCATCATGACCTCAGCATAGCTAGTTTACAAAGTTGAGGGTTCAACTTAGGGCATGGCGCAGGCGTGTCAGGGCATTGGGACATGGGTTCACCGAAAAAAGGGGATTCGCGAGAGTGTAAGACAGTGTAAAGAGGGTTGCTTGCCATGCTTGAATATTTTGGGGTTTAGGGTTTAGGGTTTAGGCTTTAGGGTTTAGGTGGCATATGCTCGAGGATCGAGATAACACTCGACACCCTTCTCGCCTCTAGCATTGAGACTTTTGGTAACGGAGCAGCCACCAAAGAAAAAAAAAAACTCATCTGTCGTCAATCATCAGCAACGCAGCCCGTGGAAAAAGAGCCCTCTGCAAAATGTTCGGGCATAATCGGTTTGCGCATGCTTGTGTCGATCCGTCCCTTGCGTACCTTTACCCTCTATGCCCAAGTCCTCAACTTCAAACCCTAAACTCTTAATCGTAAACCCTAAACCCTAACCTCAAACCCTAAACTTAAACCCCAATTAAACCCTGAATCCTGCCCCCGAATCGCCTCTGCAGCCTGGAAACCACGAAGCATGAGCGCACGGGCCATAACTGATGCCGTTTGAGCCAACAAGTTGCCAAAACCCCTAAAGCCCTAGCAAGCCCCCTAAAACCCCTAAAACCTCACAAGTTGCCTTAAGAGCCCTTTAGTGTTTAGGGTTTAGGGTTTACGGTTTAGGGTTTAAAGTTTAGGGTTTAGTGCCATCCTGGCAGCAAGTTGCAAAAGGGTTTAGTGTTTAGGGTTGAGGAAGCTTGTCGGAAGGTTTGGGGTTTTTGCGGGTTTCAAGAGAGTCTGGAATGGCGCCGGGAAGTCCTGATTCGGACGCCGCCGCTCGATGAGATTTTGGGTCCTTCGGGTCTTAAGGTCTAGGGTTTAGCCGGCACCTCAGAGAGAGAGTGGGTTCAAAAGGGTTTAGGGTTTAGGGTAGTCGAGGACGGGGCCTGGGGGTTGGTGTTTTTACTACTCAGGGCTTCGCTGTGTTTGGCGTGACTGTGGATGTTCGGCCACCTGGGTAAGGTGTTGCTAATCCCTGTCGGGGGAATGGCCTGTGTCCAAGGGCGACGTTAAACAATACAAGATAGCGCACCGGATCTTTGGTGGCCTGCTGTGTCCCAGAGTGAACATCGAAACCCGTTTTCCTGGGGATGCGGCTTGCGATACAGGGTTTTGGACTGACGGCTTGATTTTCCAGGGCCAGAGACAGTCAAGGAAGGGGTCTCCGAGAAATATCGCTGCGACTCTACAGATCTACAGGGAAAACTCTACATCCCAGAACCTTGGGATGTTCCCCCTTTTTCTAACACTCCTTAGTAGGGATTAGTACGGGGTACTAAAAATCCCTAGTAAGGACTGTTATTATAAGGGGAACATCCCAATCTACATCCCAGAAGCCCCCCTACTTGGTCATGTAAAGCTTAGTTGCGGCATCTTGTGAGCTGTCAAAAGAGCCCCGACACAGCCACAAACCCGATGATGTTGGGATATTCCCCTTCTACTAAACGTCCTTAATACGAATCATAGTACCCTTATACGATCACCCCGATCATGGACTGTAAGTAGAAGGGGAACATCCCAACTCTGGTGAGTGAGGAACGACGTCCGCTAGTCTTGAATGCTGACCTCCTCCCGCGTCCCATCCTCACTCCAGTGCCCCAGAACCCCAGGCACCAAACATCTCCAAACAATGCGAACACGAAACCAATACCGAAGCTGGCAGCCCAGAGTCGTCCACCCTCAGCCAAGCCCTACCCACCCAGATGGGCTCTTAATTAGGCCTTAAACTCCCCCATAATGAACCCTATAAAAGGGGGCCTTTCAAGGGCTTATTAGGGTATAATAGCCCATCCTACCCAGACCCGCAGTTGCTTCCCAGGATAGTTTGGAGCTCAGCGACGACTCAGAATCGAGTCCGCGGAATGGGCTTCCTCCATATGCGTCGGCAAAGGCGCGCGCATGTCGCAGTTTGATTCTCTTGCTGTGTGCTCAGGGCAGGAGTGAGCAGCGAAAGGAGGCACATCTTGCCTCGGGTGTCGGGAGGCGTTCAGGGTGGACGGTGCCTCGCCGGTAGGCCCAGAGTTTTACCCCCCTGCCCCCGTGCAGGGCCTCGGACCAGAGCCTGAGCCAGACTTGCCCTTCGTCAGAGAAGGGCTTAGGGTTTAGGATTTTGGGTTTAGGGTTTAGGGTTTAGGGCTTAGGGTTTAGGGTTTAGGGTTTAGGGGAGTTTATGGAGGCGAGCTGGTTAGTGCTTCAGATTTGGGAGGATTTGGGATGTAGGGCCCCAGCAGTCGGTGTTTTCATCATAATTAATTTCATGCAGAGGCTGTCCATCCCGCAGCCTAGCTTGGGAGAAGCATGAGTTGTTGGGAGGTCGAGTCGGCGGCTGCCCCAGCCTCACCCCAAGTCTAGAACCGCAAGTCCCAGAAGAATCCCACAGTCAACCCCTAAATCCTTGTGTCAAGCTGAGAGTCCATGAACCTTAAACCCTAAACCCCTCAAGTTTTCGGGACACGCTTCGGGCGATTTGGATGGGGGGGGTTTACGACTTCTCGACCTTGTGAAGCAGCGAGGCCCATAACTCACCAGCTATGCCACTCTTCTTCGCCTTGCGCGGCAAGGTTGAACCTGCGCACGAGCGCACACAATGCCAGCGGAAGCTAGGTCTAAGGGCTTTACACCCTTGAGCTCTGAAACTTGTGCTGGGATGAGGTCTGAGTATGGGAAGAGCCGCTCGACAGCATCAAGACATGGGAAGCCAGTTGCGGGTCCCTGAACGAAGTAGATGCCCAGCGAATTCGGCAAATTCTTTAGATGCCACTAGATTTGTGCCCGCCTCCTTGAAGCCGTTGTGGCATCCGAGCTCTACGGAAGCCGCTCAGTCGGAGGTTCGGGTTTAGGTTGGGATTACGAACAGTCCTTAATATGGATTCTAGTACGCCCTATCATAATCCCTATTAAGAACTGTTAGTACAAAGGGGAACATCCCAAGGTTTAGGGAATACAAGGTTGCAAAATTAGGCTGTATGTCCCAGCTCCAGACCGTGCGACACCAAGAGCACCTGAGCACTTAACTAACATGTTCGGAAATGTCCTATACCATTTGCTGAAGAACCAGCAAAAAATTGAAATAGTAATCCCCTTATTGCCCTTATAGGGAAGAATGTTTTTTGGGGGGGAGTTCTTAAGCAAACAGTAGTTTACATCACAGCGCAACAGCGCTCCGGAATGTGCGCTCAGGCTTGGGCGCCAGTCTGGAGGACCTTTGCGCCTTTGCAACCCTCTTTATACGGGAGCCGAATGCTGTGCGAGATGCTGTCACTTCGAGACCTGTCCATCTTGCACCTGCTAATTCCGGCCAGAGGACCCCGACCTTGCGTGGGTGGTTCGAGAGGCCAGCAAGTGCATGGCCGACTTCGCATTTCGCTTCACTAGGGGCTTGTGGTCACTTCTCCAATCCACCCCGTGCCCCTA